GGTTCCGAATATATCAAAGGACAGTCTCCCAACATTCCTCCGCATTCCCGTTCTCCTTTAAAAGTCCTAGCCCAGAGTCCGGGGCTAATGGATCCCGTGTCACCGATCAATTTTAATAAATCCAGCGTGCGAGAGGGAGAAAATCGCCGGCGGTCGGTGAGGAGAGAAGCGATCGAGGCGGATTCGATTCGGCGCGCCGCTCGCCAATCGCGAAATCGTCGGATCCACGACCGCGGAGATTTGTTCTATCCAGAGGACAAAGCTGCCAATGGCTATAAATTTCGTAACGGCGCGTCGGCCACGAGCCGTCGGTAGGAGGACCGGGGCCTCCGCCGCGTGAAACCGCGAGGGATACTTAAAAAGGCGAGGAGACGGCGTATTCCCGATTCTATAATTCGTGGACGGAGGACTGAGAGCGGGACCCTTTGTCGGATCGTTAAGCGGCTTTGTCCGGATGATTTACATCCAGTCTTAGCTGCCTCGCTCGTCTCACCTCCCGGCTACGTCCAATTGATTACTGCTCGGTTCCTCTCGCCTCGCAATCCTCCTACCCCTCGCGAAATTCGGACCCTGGCCCGGCCCGGCCCGGCTGGGCCACGGTGGATCCGGAAATTAAGTGTTCCCCGCATTCCTCAATGCTTTGTGCCGTGCTGTGGGAACAGAGGCGATTTGCAATGCTAGCGAATTTCTGGAAGAAAAGCTACCTGTTCGATGTAACGCGAGAGAGGAGGTTTCGACGCATTGCGCGGCGGCCATTTTGTCTGCGGCGCTTTGCGCTGGTCGCTGTCGGTGCTAATCGAGGGGATTGAATGAAGAATTATGCGATTAAACTTGGTGACAGTGGATAATTTGAAGGTGACATTAGGTTATTGTGGTTATAATGGATAATCGTGGATATTAAGGTATGTAGAGTATATAATAAGGGAAAATAGCGTATCGGTTGTTACGCTGATTTAAGGTTTTATGAATTTGATGGATAAAAGTGGTATAATATGGTAATAGGAATTTGAATATTAGATGGTGTACATGTTAAGATTTCGAGTGAGATATTCGAAAGGTACTATTTTATGAAACGGAAGCTACGAAATGGTCAGGAAATATTCCAGAATCGCGCCGTATAGTTTCTCTAGCTCTCGTTTCAGCGTCCGGACACACCAGACCTTGCCCGGCAAGACTTAATTATCCTCCAACGATGTCACGATCCAACCGTACAATAACGTCGAAACGTTTCTCTTCTGTTTTCATTCACAAAAGCGTCTATTCTCTGCGCTGCCATGTGTCGTCAGAGGACGAAGGGACGCGCGGGAAGAAGGAGCCGCGCCGACACGGCTAGACAGAGACAGAAAAAGAGAGAGAGAGAGAGTGAGCAGCAGGGAATGGAATGTCTTTTGCTAGCTCACTTTATTTTCCAAATGGCCCCTACAAGCTTACGGGGCCGGGAAAGTTGACTAGACTGGGAAAGTCAACCGGGGCCATTGTTGCACGCCGGGGTCGTCGATATTTCACCCACATTGTGCCCATATGGATCGACCTGGACTAATGTCGGAGACGATTGGAGCGCGAATTTTCTTCTCCGAATTTATGTGCTTCCCCTGGATCCTCGTGCTTTTCTAAGAGTCATTGGAAAGTTTGGATGCTTGATGGTTTAGGTCCATTTCATTTGGAAAGTTTTTTCCCTGAATCAAGAACTTAATTCTACAGTTCCCTTTTAAGCTATGTATCCAAGCTGTTTCGCGAGTGTTCACAAGATTGTTGTGAAATAGAGTGTCCTCATTAATAATTACTGTCCTTTGATACTGTTATTTAAACTTTGATTGAACAGTAAAGGTAATACCCCCCATTTTTATTGTAAGTATTAATCCTTTGCACTCGAGATGTGGCTCTCAATCACCACTTGATTCAATATATAAAAATCATACATTCCTATATATAATATTAATCTTTGTATAACATATTCATTCACGAACTATTCAAATAAAATATGTTCCTTAACTTACATACATTCTCATTAGTTCCAAACAGTACCATCTATATCTCACCAGAAAATGTCCAATATTCTTAATGAAAAACATTCAAGTCCAAAGGGTTAACCCAAGAAATTTAACCAATGAGATACCCAACGCGTTCCTAAACCATCCACCTCCAAAATCCACTTCCCCAAAACACTCCAAACAGTAGTAGCAAACTCCCAAGCAAATCCAAAAAAGAAGCAGTCCATTCCGCTGAAGCGATTCGATCGTGATATCCGTATATTTCATATCAGCCGAATAGGTCGTAAGTGTCCGAACACTCCTGTACAGCTTCGCGCTCGTAGAAGTAGGGAAAAAGGTGTCCTTCCTCGAATCATCGGCCGACGAAAGGATCCTCGCCCCCGATGGGCAGTCGGCGGCGGCAATGATGGGGGCCTGGTGACGGCGATGACGCCGTCGTTTCGTCCAAGGGACGATAACAGCGACGCATGCTGGAATTCTTCGCTCGTGCTCGCCGGTTCGCCAATAATAGTCGGGGCTGTATCGCGCCGGTGCGTCGTTCCAGACGCGTCGGCCATTCAGCCGTTGAATGCAGAAATAACTAGCTATCTGTTTGTCTCCCGTACCCAGCTGCGGAAATTCATACACAGACCACGGTCTCCGGTTTCTGTTTGCGAAGCCACCCGGGGGCCCCTTTGTTGCGACAACGAATGAAACGTACCTACGCTCGTCCTCCGCATCGTTCTCCTCTTCTTTCTCCTCTTCCTATATCCTCTCTCGCTGCTCCTGCTGCTTCTCATCAGCGATCTATCTCCCTCTTTCATTCCCTCTCTTTTTCCCCAGCCTCCTTCTCCCTTTCCCTCTTTACAACCACCCTCTCTCGCTCCTGCCCGACTAGTTCGCTCGGTTTCATTCGGACCCAGCAGACGATCTAGCCAGCAGACTGTTTCGAGTCCGGAGATCGACATCCGATCGACGAGCAATTTCGCTCGGTTATCTTTTTTTGCTCGGCGGCTGGTCGCGATTCGGTGATGTAACGCGGCTGAACAGCTCCTTTTTATTTCTGTTCGATTTCGCGTCCCAACGGTATGAATGCTGACTCTGTCGGATCGGGAACTTGGGTTTTGTCCGGTGATTGGGGAAGATTGGGGAATGTTTCGCTGGGATTTTTGGTGAATTTTTTAACAAGAATGTCGGTACGGTTGCAATGGAATATTTAATAGAGACGTTTCAAGAAGGATTTTAGAAATTCGATAAGAAAGGGTTAAATCGTTTTTCTATTGTTATAGATTTTTCAAAATACATTCTACGGAATGTTCGGAGAAGGATATATACTAGAGATTCGAACTGACTCGAAGAATATTGAAATATCGCCTTTCGCAAGAGGACCTCGTATTTAAGGTATATTTTTCGGGACACCGGATGAAGAATGAAAATTCGTTTATCTATTCCGAAGGAGATTAATAAAATTTTACTCGGGGCGGATCGGTCCCGGCGAGGCCGCTGAATACAACGATAAATCTCGAGATTCCCCGATCGGGTCTCTCGATGTCAAATTCCGCTGAATAGGGACACCGGAGAAATAACCGCGTGGGTGGCTCTTTTCCGCCTGCATCTCGATAACGCTGCTCCCCATACGAGCGTGTCTTACGCATTTTTCGTGTCTGACAAATCGCAATCGTCGAACCCTCCTACCCCTCCCGGCGGTTCGACTATATCCTCTAATTGAATCGCGCATTGTTGTCCCAAGAATCATTGTTCTGTCTCCACCGTGAAAAGGGTAACTTCACGAGAGTGAAATTGATGTCTCCTTGTTCACTCGATCGTGTAATTATTTGCGAAACAGTTTTCTTAATCTGCTTCAATCTTTCTGTCACGAGAAACCGCGCTAGAAGTTTCTATAACGAACCTGGAGAATTTAGAAAGCGAGACTTGGCATTGATGCGGAATCATTATATAAATAGATGACTACAAGACACAAAAGAACATTCAGAATATGTTTAAAACATTCAATTCTAAAATAAAGTGATATATTACCGAGTCGAGTGAACGAATTGATATTTCTATAGGTATATAAATACGAAAAGTCTCAGTCTTTTAATAATTTTAACAAATTTGGAAATTTTCTTTTCGTTTGTTTTAAACAGATGTTCTATAAAAAGTTTCGTGAATTCTTTAGAACATTATCATTCAACGGGAACCCCAGGCCATTTCCACATTTTCCACGTTGCACACTTCGATTGTTCAAACGAGCGTGCCAACTGCAACCAGCGAAAACGCGACGTGCGCAGAATTCGGCCGCGTGATAAACGAAAACAGGCGTTCCCCGTAACAATGCGCAATTAAAATTCCCCGCAACTCCATCCGCGTTGTCGCAACCTTCTGAACCATTATCAGTCCGGTCTCGCCGTTTATTCGCGGGGAGGAGTCCATCGCAGCGTGTCTTGCGGAAACTCGTGTCACGATTCGTTTCACTTCGCGCCGCAAACCAGCGATCGGAAATCGTGGCATGGACGTTTCGACATTGCGCGATGTGATTCAAGTTTCCCATTTTTCCAATGGAAAAATGTGACAGCGGCAACTTCTCTCGGTAGAAAGACATTCAAAAATATATTGGTTCATAGAAAGAAGCTTAATAACGGCAAACTTTTGCTTTTAACTTTTATAAAATTGAAGAGGAACACTGAAAAGGAAAATCTATCACTAAAGTGTCCAATAATTGTGAATTTTTGCTTTGAATTTTTTCAGAAATTGATGAAATGTATAATAACAGCAAAGTTGTGCCTTTAATTCATTTGAAACTGAAGGAAAACGTACGAAAGTGAAGCTATTGTTAAAAGTAGATCAAGCAGACAAATTGGACTATTTCTGTTCGATCAGCAAGTCCAGCTAAAGTAGTTGAGATATCTTTCAACTCAATTGGTTGAAAAGAATTTTTTCGCTGCAATAATTTTCTTGCTAAAGAGACTTCGCCAGTTGGTGCTACTGGCTAATAAATCAAATTAAGACTTCTGAGCGGTATTTATTTACAAGAAAGGTAGACTCACCTGAGCAGGTGCCGCGAGGCCTGCGGACATCGCCGCCGCAGACTGTTGGGCAGCCGCAGCCGCCGCCGCGGCCATGCTAGCCGCCGATAGTGAACCGTAAGCAGCCGCGGGCCCATAGTACGAGCCCATTCCAGCTTGTCCCATACCGCCTGCCATTCCTGCAACAGGCCGTTTGAAAAGCCATGAGACAATTTCGCAATTTATTGCACAGTTTGAGAATTTCAACATCATTCGGAGAAACATAAAACTCATTCCCACCCCGTACTCCTGGGTTTAACGAAGGTTTCAATGGTGAACATGAATTTCCGTACAGTTCCAGCTTGCATACATTACTCTGCACAACTGCACAAGTGCATCGTATATTAAACGCTATTGGTTTCTCTCCGAATCCGAATTGAAACCCTCGTTCAGGTAAAAGTGTACTCAGATTTACTTAAGTAGGAGGTTTACTAGAAAAATATTAGTGACAAGTTCAATTGTTAGTAATATCGTGTTTTAATTCTGAGCATTTAATTGCGACTTATTGAAAATGTTTATAATATAATGAATAAGAAGTTATCTCTGCTCAATTCAACAGTTCAACATTGTTTCACTGACATCTAAAGTTAAGACAACAAAAATAGCGTTCGATATGTCCGAACGAATTTATGTTACCATCCAACAATTCGAATATTCTCGCTTCAGATTTCAAATCCGCGAGGTAAAAAGGCGATCCTTCCCTAAAACGCATGGCGGTTCGACAGTAATCTAATTCAACGATCGCAGCCGTTCCTTCATCTTCGATCTCAAGGCTCTCGATCGACAATGCCAATGATTAACCGAACAAGCGCGCATTTTCGTCGAGATTAATATCGAAGGGCTCCGTTGCACGACGTATAAGAGCGGCGAGCTTATCGATCATCGTCGTCGAACGACGGAAACGCGGCGAAAGAATACCTATAGCAACGAACGATCCATTGTCGGGGCGACGTGAATCTCTACGGTGACGAAGAAACGTCGCTCGATCCTGCCCGCGCTATGAGATCCCCGGGAAGAAGGCCGGGGATGATTGGCGGCGAGATTTATGATCGGCAACGATGAATTCACGCGCGTATTAGTCGCAATTTTGTAACTGGCATTCCTCCAGCTTGGCTACACGGGATTAAGAAAATTAATAGGTGGCGAAAAATGGATGAACGTCACATTAATTTCTCATTCACCTCGGTTTTCGTGTTTCGACGCTAGTAACGTCGATCTTGAATCGTTTCGTAAGTTATGTAGATTCTGCTGTGCAAGTTTTCTGTACCGATTGCTTCTGGATAATTACGAATGTAAACACGACATTGAAAACTGCCAAGTATCCATCATTGGATTTAACATTTGAACTTCACAAGAAATTTAGAACAGTTAGATGAAGAAACAGTTAGTAACTTCTAACAACGAAATGCTAATTTTTACGTAAGAAAGCTGAGTCTTGTTAAATCGACCTGAAAATAGGTATTTTTAATGGCTAACAAATTTGATCATTTGAATTTCAAATTTCGTCGTTCGGCGCTTCGAAGAGATGCGGCGTCACGATGGAAAAAGCAAGGCTCGCCGGATGAAAAACGAAATTCGCCGCGGATCTTGATAAATTTGTCGGAATCGAGGCATTCTGGTCGCGGCATCGATTTCGCGCGAACTATTTGTTCCCACGTGACAGGCAAATGGAAATTTCATGCATCGAATATTCGCCGGTCGGCGTCCCTTACCCTTCCGCCCCGTTTCTCGCCGCCATCAGCTATTCACGATCATAATTCCGCGCGATTGTTCCACCCTCCCGTTTTTCTTTGACTCGACGCGCTGCGCCGCCGCGCCGCGGAGAAATTCAAAATTACGTAATCCGGTATGAGGCGGGAAACAATGAAGACAATGGGGTGGCCGGAACGTCAAACAAATCTGTGTAAACCGTCGATGGGGTAGACACTCGCGCGTGTGTAAGCGAGGAGGACCCGATTCATCGAACATCTGTTCCACTGATTCCGCGGGGAAACTTTACGGCGAATTCGAGATAAGGTACACCGATCGAAATCGTCTGGCACGCCCCGGATTGTGTAATTAAAGGCGAATGTAATTCGCGATGCTTAGTCTTCTGAAGTAATCAAATGGGCTTCTTAATAGATCATAGGAAAGTGTTTTCTAAAAGGTGCTTTGGGACTCGCGTCGAAATTTCACATAAATGCAGGATTTATTTATTAAAAAACTAATCTTTGATAAAATGGGGAATAGAAGAATTTGACGTAGAGAGAGAAGAATTTAAGAATTAAGTGTTTTAGCGTTGAAATTTGGAAATATTAGAAAAATGGAGTTAGAACCTTGGCGTGTGAACGATTCAACTGTCGTTTAATAATTATGGTTATTTATAATACGGTAAGTGTGGCTATATACTTCCGTCGAATTACCCGGAGCGCAATTATAGGACGTCTTGCTGGTAATAGCGGGTCGGCTGCTAAGACAATTCGATAAATAATGAGCCAGCGACATGTTTATGCTCTCGCGTGCATAAGAGCAATGAATCGTCCGCACGAAGCGCTGCCCTTCCGCGCCAAAGGGAATTATTCGACGATTTATTCCAAGCCCTTCGAGGCCCGATCGTCTTGATAACTTTTGACCCGTGTTTTTGAAAATAAACGCGGGAGCCGTCGCGTGATCGCTTCATCCCCTTACCACTGCTAAATTTATCAGTTTATGCCGCGTTTCTTTTACCGCTTGATTTACGATTCGATCAATAAAATTAGGGTCTTTTAATTATACATTCACTTCTAAGCAAAGAAAGTACATTGACTACTAGGGCATCTTTTTGGTAACTTTCCAAATATTTAAACTTTTAAAAACTTTTTAGTACCTACTAACCGGAAACATCAGTTTAATGAACCATCAGTAATGTAATAATCGATTGATTAATCTAAGATTAATAAATAATAAAGTTCCACAAAATTCCATTGTTTAAACAGAAACTAAGAAGTCAAGATCCTTCATAACAATTGCTCTTTCTTATATCTCATACATCCTATAAATTCGATTCGCTCGACACGTCACTAAGAAAATTAAGATCATATAAAAAATGGAAACACACGAATTTAGATGACGCGGCAGTCAAAGTGTCCAAGTAACAGAATTATCCATCCGTCTAGTCAAAGATAAATCGCGTGGAAGGATATCATCGAAGAATCGTGGGTTCCTCTTATTTCCAAAAACGAACATTAAATCCTACGGAAAAGAAAAAAAAATTGGGAAGTCAACGGTCGCCGTAGCTTATAGTTCGATCGGCGATAGGGAACGTGGGAAAAGGGAATCGATTTTACGAGACCGCGTAGAATCGCTATGCAGGAGTCAATGTTTATCGCGCCCGAGGGAGGGACGGAGAGTAGAAACACGACCAAAAGTAGAAACGGCGTGTTCCCCCTTAACTTACGTGCTTAAGTCGCTATCTGCACGAGCGGAAACCGCGGTCGGAAATTCCAGCCTAAGCCGATAATTTATCCCAACCACCCACGCACTTGTCTTATGCGCGTGCCACTGTGCGGGGACGTGTCCGCCAACGGCCGGCCGGCCGGCCGGTCGGCCGGAGAAAATGAAAAAAACAGGGTTTATGTAGCACGTCGGAGAGGCGAACAAGAATGGAGGAGCGGAATCGGTAGCCGATTCCCTTATCACGTCTTTCGGATCTAAACGGGCGGCTACTCCGGTAATCGGGCAGGTTTAAAGACAATCAACGCGGCGAACAAGCGAGATAAAACAGATTAATATTGACGTACGGCGCGAAGAAACGTTCAATTCCCGATCCAAGTGTCCTTTACATCATGGCTTTCGAGATAGACGTCCAGTAAAATGGCAAGGCGAATTAGATTGACGTTAACGAAGCACGACACACGAAATCTTTTTGTTATTCGACGAGAACGTCCGACTATATAACTCGATTTCAAGATCACGGAGGAAGACCCTCGAGGAACTTTCGGGGTAAAAAAGGAATCTTTCACCGTGTTGTTTTAAAATTTCTGCCGTCCGAGGAAATGGCGGGACAAAGTATCGTAACCCGGGGAGAAAAAGAAAAAGTGGGGGGAGCAGGAAGGTGGAGAACGAAGTGGGAAGGAAAATAATGGAGGGAGCGAAGGGGAGAAAAAAGGGATAAGGAGGGAAGACGCGGAATACGACCGATAAATCGGGGATTACCGATCACTTTCCGAGGTGTCGCGTGGGCGACGAGATAAATTCCGGCTTTAATCGGGTCGTTGCCGGAATTAATAATTTTGTTCGGTTATAGTACGGATCGGCCGGGGTTTATGAATGAACCGTGGATATCCCCGACACGAAGTGTGCCCGTGAACGCGTTCACGCGGATACGGGACAAGTTACGAGCTGCTTGGAGACACTCGTTTCTACAGGTTTCATGGAATTATAATAAAATGATCTGCCGGTGCGTGTTTATTCCGATACGATCAACGATACCTCAGATTTATGCTGATTCTTTTTATACGAAAGCGTTCACGGGGGAAAAAGCCCTTGCTGAAATCGGAGCGGGACACGCTCATTGCCAGCGACAGCTACTCCCATGGTATTATTATTACACGTCTTTATTACACAAACAATATGCGGCTCACTTGTAAAAAAGGAAAGAACGAGGGGAAGAACCGATATACATATGTACCGTGGACCGAGTTTTACATCGGCTCGCCGCGAGAGGCGTGACGCGGCTAAAAACTGTTTTCAAGCTGACCCTAAGTTTAGTAGTTTATTAAATTAGGTAAAGAAACTCCAGCTCGAAGGTTCGCGAGCGTAAAATATTATTTCCTACCTGTACCTTTATTAAATTCAATTTTTGAAACCTTTACCGCGCGTCTGGCCGAATGGCTATTGTAAATCAAAGAATTAAAATTATGAAACGAACGAACTTCCTTTCCCTCGATTTTCGAGTTAATAAAGTGTGCTCTAGGAAACCTTGTGCTAACATTGCCAGGTTAATGTAACGTTCGATGTACACGAGTATCTAGGATGATCTTTGTCAGCTGTTACAAACAGCGATATAAGAAGAAATGGTTATTGCCGTTTGCACAGCGAAAACTGACCAAAGATGATATCATCGATGATCGCAGTTCAAAGGCAAGTGTCCGTCTGGCTGGAGTGTTTGTCCAAGTGCATATCGGTGGCCGCGATAATAAGAGCACCGCGGTGGAGAGGCGGCGGTAGGTGTCTTTGACCCGAAACGGGCGAACGCGTGAACCATTAACGAGACGCTGGAGAAAATGGCAGAGGAAACGAGAGTCGGGCGAACCTCGAAGAAATCGCTATTATAAGACTTCCGACCAGGAATCCCGGAGGCATCGCCGGCAACAATGCGGCTGAAACGCGAGCCGAAAAGATAAGAATATCAGAGCCCTACCAGACGAACTGTTCTTTCCCCCATTGTACTCCCCCGCGACCGTCGCAACACACCGCCAGTTCCTTTGGATCCGCGAGGAGATCGATCCCGCCTTGTCTTTTCGTACCGTGATCGCATTGTTTCACCGCTATCATAATATAAAACGGTCGGGACTAGTCGCTCTGGAAGCAGCCTTTAACGGACGGGCATTGTTAGAAGCATTAGAAATGTTTTTTATAGAAACGTAAATTAGATGTAGATTTTTGAATATCAGGAAATATGAAAATTATTTCGTGATATTTATTGTTTATAGAATTAAATTCTTTGACTGAAACTTTGAAGTTTGGATATGTAAATTTGACATGGATAATGATAGAGTACTAATAGTCAAAGGGTTAAGAAATTGTTATCATTTTTTTCAATCACTAATCGATAAGAGAAGTTTTTTTATGAAAGATATGATAGCTACACGCTTTCTATGTTTCGAATTGAAGAATTTTAAATTCTTATTGAAATAAATATTATTTATTAATTCTTTTATTAGAAAATTACTACTTCTTTAATTGCACTAATTGAAAGTCGAAAAGCTACGTATAAAATAATATTTGGCGTCTGTATGATTCGGAGAACAAGAATTCGAGCACGTATAACGTAGATAGGTACATTATATTAATTATATGTCTTCGAATGAAAGCCGAAAGCTTCCGAACATTTTCCTGATTTATCAAAAGTACCGGTAGTTACAGTAAGGTTTCCAGTGGATGGTAAGAGAGTTTCGAAGTTGCAGTAATAATTTTATTCAACGAAACGACCGACTTACCAGCTCGAATCGCGTCCACAGGCAGACTGGGGTACGGGATGCTATAAGGGTAGCCTTCCTTCCGCAAAGTTTTCGGCTTTCTTCTTGGCCTGTATTTGTAATCGGGATGTTCCTTCATGTGCTGTGCACGTAACCTCTTTGCTTGATCGATGAACGGCCGTTTCTCATCCTCCGTTAGGAGCTTCCATTCAGCTCCTGAAACAATCAATCCATGTTGATAAGTAAAACATTTAGACCTAAGGTTCAATTTACATTCGAATAAAAATGAATAAGATGTGGTAAGAAACAAATAAAAATTTAACCATATGCATCGTAATATCGTGTTAAATGGATCACGCCCTTAAATGGAATCCCTTCTAGTTTAAATGAAATATTATTCTCCTGTCATAGAAGAAACACCTAGACAAAGAATATGTTTAGAAGTCTTCCTTCTTTTCGATGAAGTATTCAAGACAAAGTAGTTACATCGATCATAATCGAGAAAGAAATGACAGGGCAAGAGGTTATAACAAGATTTCTCGTACGTAGAATGACTTTTACGTTTTCAATTTAATAAACAAAGCGCTTAATTATAATTTCATGTCCCAACAATTTGCAGCGGACTAATAGAAGAAACGGCAGCCCCAATATCGAGCTCTCACCCGGGCGGCGTATTTGCGGGCCGAATAAAGCAGTTTGTAAACGAACGATAGGCACTTGGATCACGCGCTCGATCAATGACTATAAAAGGCATTTGGATGCTGTGTTTACCCGGCGAAACGGCCGTGTTGTGTGCCGCCCGGCAGTGCCAGCCGTTATGGCTGAATTATCGACGAGGCCGTAATCGCGCCTCATTTAAATCCGCCTCGTTGACGATTGTCCGCGCGGAAAATTGCATTTTCGTTTCCCCGACGTTCGACTACGTCCACCGTGCCGTTTTGTATCATCCAAGACGATTGTTCTCAATGGCGGTCGTATTTACATTTGGCGAAAAGATTGAATGCCGTCAATTATATTCCAGAATCGATTTTACAAGTTCCAATTAAATCGAATATCAATAGGGAGGATAATAGTTGCCCGAGATGAATGAAAGTTGGCTGTTTCTACAGTAATAACTAGACTGCCGATTTTTATGCGTTCATGGGAAATTTCAAAGCCCGAAATTCTACGGATCGGATGTAATATTAGAAAATATATAAAATATCAAACGTGTAATTTTCTATAGTATCTTTTAGGAAAAACTATTTTCCATCGTAATTCTATTTTTCTAATTACATTCTTGAAACGTTAAACTCGCATAAAGATTAACAGTCCAGCAATAAGCTTACGATTGACGGAGAAGGTGAAAAATGAAATTGCTGGAACATTGTCAAAGAATTTTCACGCGGAATCGTATCCGTAACCGTCATCCAATCAGAGTCACAGCGTTCTCCGCCCACGGGCGAGATCAAAGATCGACGGTCGAAAGACGCCAGCGTCTCGACATCGGCTTGCATTGTTATCCAGCGAGTTGGGCGCGACCCGGGTTGCCCTTTGTTTCGGTCGTTGCAACCGCGGAGAACGGACTTCGCGCGGCGTCGACGTCGGCGTCGCGGCGTTTCTCGTTTGATTCAGGGCTCCGTTTCCAGGATGCAAGCGCTTCGCGCTTTGTCCGCGCAGCTACAGCTAGCACCCCGACAACAAGTGGTAATTAATTCTCGGCGAAACAATCGACCCGTTACCGCTGAAGGAACAACAACGTCAAAGTGGAAAGAGAGAGAGAGGGGGAGAGAACGCGGAAGCATTTTGCCGCGAAAACATTGCTTGTTTCGGGGGAACGACTCCCTTTTCCGCCGTCTCCGCCCTTACGCGGCTGGAAAATAGTTTCAACGCGAACATCGTTCGCTGGGAACACAGCGTCATGTTGGTTAACCGTGCCTTCTCTTTGCTTTGGAAATTTCTGATCATTGCGCCGGTTGTGTTCCGCAGTTTAGTAACAGGGCTGTTGATGCTCGTGGAAGTCTTTGGATCGATTAAAGACTAAAAGTAAATCGTTTAAATATTTAATATTGTCTTTATATTTCGAAATAACTAGTTTCTTCAGTTTTTCATGTATTACTTTGTATTATATAAAAATATATTTATAAACATTCTTCAAACCCCGATAAGTTGCACGATTTACATCATTTCTTATTGTAATAGTTATATTGCACTGGATTTCTCGCGAAAAAAATTCGTACTGCAAATGTTTCTTTTTATGCAATTAATGTCCAGCCTTCCTCGTCACGTAATCTCGTCGCGAAGGGAAACAAGGAATCGAATATTCAGTTAAAATGAAAAGTCCGTAGACAAAAGGGGGTAACGTGGATGCCTGGTGGAAGAAAAGAGAATCGAGGCCAAGGAGTAATATCAAGAACGAGCACGTTCCAGCGGGCACAGGGGGAGAGAGAGAGAGAGAAGCGGGTCTGTCGAGGAATCGCTCAAGGGGGATGAAAGTTCCTCGATACAGAGAGGAGATACACTACCGGAAATTCGAGGCGCACCGGAGCAGATACGGTAGGCGGTAGGGAGGATGGGATTCACGTTGCCCGATGGATCTTTTACTCTCCTCGTTATTGTTGCTGACAGCAGGCAGCAACAATGGAAAGAGTTGCTCGGCATAGTGGAGCACACACAGGGAAAGAGAGGGAAGAAAGGAGAGAGCGGGCTAAACAATACGTGCACGTGGTGGTATACAATGCACGTTCGAGGAACACCAGCGAGAAAAAGAGAGGAAACATCCGAGATTTTTGTCTTCCGGGACAATGCGGGACGCTGATAACGCATTCGAGACCAGGCGAGTGGTGTCGGACCATTCTTAATCCTTGTTCCGAGTATTTACAATACGCTTGCACTTGAAAATTAATGCTGCGCGGTGCTTTGAAGATGCCCTTTAAAATAATTACACATGCTTTCATCTGTGTTTGGCAGGATTTACACGGGATAGATTAATACTTTGATTAATCTGGAAATAGTTGATCATTTGCTGACGATGAAGGTTCAATATGAATTACAACAAATGTGGAATTTAATCTTTGGAGATACTAGTAGCAAAATTGAACACTCATAATTACTGCACCATCCCACAGAAAATACTCCAAAATTAAATTCTACTGCAGAATTAGCACTGCGATGTACATGTACAAAGCACTTCAACCAAAGAGACTATCCCTCTCTACGTCATTCACTCAGCTCTATGCCATCAGCAGTTACATTGTCAGCAAAATCGTAACTTTTAATTCCACTAATAAGTGTTTCTTCCATTCCATAAATTCTTTTACCCTCGATCCCAGGCCGAATCTCCAAAACACTATCACGAAATCGTCAACCAGCGGCCGAACCGCGAACCGCCGAATCGATCCACGAGACTTCCGGTCGCACGTGCAGCTCCGCCACGGAAAGGGGTTTCCTTCCACGCTGTTTACACTATAGCCTATCCAATCGATACACGCTTCACCGTCCGAAGGCAGGTACCACGAACGAACAAGGGATGGAAGCGAAAAGTGGGTGGCGGCAGGAGAAACAGGGGGTGGTCGGTCGAGGGTGGGTCGGCGTATTTGTTTAGAACAAAGGCTTCTCGGCACCGGCGGTATTAGTAGGTTGGTATTCTCGGCCAGTACTCCTTCCTTCTCTTTCCGTGCTTTCGGAGAACGAGGGAAAGAGAAAGAGAGAGAAAGAGTGAGAGCCTGGCGGGGGGAGAGCCCGCGACGACGTCGACGACGACGTCGACGATGAGGACCGGGCTTAAAGCACAATGCCGCCTGCTTTTCAGTCCTTTCGCTGGCGGACAATGCCGTTTATTTAACATCGTTTAAAAGTACAAAGCCTGTTAATTAATGGACGGGGTCGAAGGAGAGAAACGAAGCCCGGTGTCGAGGGTGGGGGAAGGGAGAAGCTCTCCGGCGAGGACAGCCATGGCGACGGAGCCATTGCCACGGAGCGCGGTGGTCGGGCTTTTACCGCAGCACCGCGACGCGCGCTATTGCACCGGCATTACTATTTCTGAAGGCAGCCCGGCTATTAGTCCACCGCTACCCGGACCCACTGGATGCTATTCTTCTTTCGTTCCTCTCCTTTTTACTCGTCTTCATTGTCGCCCGGGCAAAACTAGGCTACTACCCGCTGCTGCTACTACCCCGCTACTGTTCTTCTTTTCTCGGTTTCCCTTCGCCTACCTTCGTCCGCCGCCACCGCCTTTCTGCCGCGTGTCTTCTGGTGCAACGAGAATGAAACTGTGCGCGAATATCTGACCCCTGGCTCGTTTGTTTGGGCTTCTTCAATTGAAAGGATGGTCTTGCTGGTAGCTGGCTAGGTTATTAGCTTGCAGCGGGGACTCTGATGTGTTGGGTCGCTGTAGGTGTTGAATCATTGACGAGGACTGGTTTTGTTCGGATTTGCGTGTATGTCGGTAATTTGTGAAATTTTACAATATCATTTTTTTTGCAATATTAAATTCTTGATTATTCTTGGCGCCGTATTAGGATATCGTTACAGTTAAAGTCCCTTACCGATTGGATTTTTCTGGATTCAAGAAACTTCCGAACAGTTTCCATTTTTCACAAACACGCGACGATACGTATACAGCTGATACGCTTAATACACGTTTGTTAACGGATAACGAGGCAATTTGTTCAAGTTAGATTGTTCGCGCGGCAAGAAAAATTACTTTGTTGCACGGATAATAACGCGGCTTATTAATCCGCAACGTGCACGACTCATTAACACTGGCAACAGTCTTTCGTGTTGAATAACAGATCGTTAAGGTCGATAAGCGTCGCATTGTTTCGCTTCGGGAACGGGAAACCGCGTAAAGCTATCGTTGGGAGAACCTAGCTTCCTCGGTTAATTTATACGTTGCAACATTTCTGTCGGGCCATAAATTCTTTTTGTACTCGGAGAAAGAGGAGAGGATCGTTGACAAAGCAGAGAGATCCTGTCTAATAGTCGGGCACACGATGTTTCTATTTGTCAATTCGATCTTGTGCTCATCGTTAACGAGTACCAATTATCGCACTACAATGCAAAAGAATCAGCAAGTGCGATTTTACATGTGTCAAGGAAATTATTATTAATCTTGAGGTGTGAGTCACTTAAGTTAGTCACGTGGAATGTGCTCACGTTTTTTAAGATCATATGTGACTGCAGGAACGCGTTAACGAGTTCGTTCATTTTAATGAGAGAAGATTGCTATCGTCTGA